CAATTTGTTGTGTGGTGGTTAAAGGGTACCGTTTTCAAGTCGGTCGATTCGGGTAGTGCGACGCTAGATTTGTGCAAACTACTAGCTTCGCGTACTAAGTAGTCGTGATGATTTTCTAATCACATACATGTTTATCATGAGTGTTATTATTCTTTCGCATTACTGCTCGTTTATTTTGTTTCGATTCTTCTTCGTGGTGATTTCCAGGGCCGCAACTAGGTCGATTCTGCTGAACTGGGCACTGAAATTCTACTAGCCTTGGGGGCCCCATAAGTTATGGGCCATAACACAATGATTCTTTCGGAGTCAACAGAGACTTTAATTTTTTACATACCTATATTCATGCAAACTACGCATCGTCATCATCATCATCATCATCATCTTCATCTTCATCTTTGTTGTGATCAAGAAGCGCGGTGAATATAGGTACCTAACGCGCCTTGCGCGACGCAAAGTCCTCAATCAAATCGTGAACGTGATCGACGTTGAGCATTTCTTTGAAGACTAAGAGATCAAGCATTTACAAGATGCTGATTGGAGGTTGTCGACTATTAAGGCTACTTCTGAGAAATGTGCCCCTAAATGAGAGGCCAAATGGTATGAGAATGTATTGCTTCGATGAGAACAACGTCCTGTACTTCACCGGTATCACCTCCATAGTCGACAAATCAAGAACGGTGACCCCATTGCCTGTGATACCGAGATGTCCGAAAGTACAAGAATGTTCACTTACACTACATGAAGGAGAAGGCCATTCACCCCCAAGGTGCGACAAGTATTACGACGCCGGCTACAGTCCTGTCCCGTCTGTCAACGTACAAGGATAAGAGCCTGCACTCGTCGAGCAGGAGGAGTTGTTCGACCTCCTGGACTACACTTTGGTGTTGGCAGTTGCCATGTACTAGATCTACAAGGTCCTTTCCTCGAGTGTGACGAAGATCCTGATGTCCCACAGAAGAAGTGGTGCTTGACTATGACTGATGCAGTGTTCTTCCATGTGTTATTCGATGTCCTCGACAACCCGAACACTGGTGCTGTGGTTGACTCGGTCCACAAAATTATTGCTATGAATGGCATTCCTCAGGCCGTTGTCATGGACCCGGGAAGTTGCTTTCCTTCCAGTGATTTCAAGATGTACCTCAAGTCCCAAGCTATTGCCTATACCTACCTACCACGAGATGCTCAACATCTTGGAGGCTTTCATGAACGAGTACATGGGACTATATTGCAGCAAGTGAGGGGTCGGTTGGCGAGAGCTGAGCTGCAGGCTGAGCCCATAACCTTCTTGACTATCTATAGTGAAGCTGTGGCCAGTGTGAATCGCCTCCCTTTGACCGACTTTGGAGGACTAACCCCCTTCGAATTATATCATCGACGACGCCCTCGTTATCTTGCTGGTTCCTGCACTGGTGAGGATGCCAGACTAGGTCAACAACTTATTGATGAATGGTTTCCCGGCTTACGACGTGATGAACAAGATGTTCTAGAGTCTGGCCTACAAATGCTATGCGAAGAAATCTATGAGCGACGATGCCAAAGTATGACTGACTACTTCAACCTCTGGAAGGAGCGAAATGATAGAGTTCGTCAGAGGATGCAACGAGCTGCTCAACAGCGAGGCCCTGATCCGACTATTGATGTAGACGACAAAGTCCTTAGGTTCCGTACAAGGAGCCATGAGCAAGAGAGTGGTTGGCAGGGTCCCTATATTGTCACTTGGAAGAATCAAGACACTTTATAGATTGAAGGGCGAAGATAGTACCTCTCTACCTTGTGTCGAAGGACGGTTCAATCTACGTAAGTACTATGAACGAGACGAGCAAGATGATCTACCCCCGTACGATTCCTACGATGAAAATGGTGTATTCCCACCGGATGATGTCGAGATCGAGCACGACGTTCCAATCGAAGATGCCGACGTTACCAACTGAGACCAGTATTGATATTAAATTAAGAATATGATATGATCAAGTGCGGGATCTTAAATCCCAGGCTCTATGGTGTGTCGGACGTCCCGTCCGAGATAGGCCCACCAATGGCCAGTAAGAAGCTGATAGATGAACTAGTACTATTGATGCCCCTCTTTTTGATCGACACTCAACAGCCCAACTGTGGTTTGCTGATTTCGCTCGGATTACATGCAATTCGGGCATTCATACAGTGAAACGGCTGAAACGGTTGTCTCCCTTTTGATTCGAAGAAGAGATTAGAAGAAGAGTCATTACTTGTGATTCGTGATATTCTCGTGAGATTTGCCTACTGTGACTTCCTTGGTTACAGTAGATCTCTAGACTATCAAGCGTTTCGACTAGCCCCTTTCGTAACTGGTTCTTCTAATTGCGTTTCCTTCGAGTTGGAGTCACGGCATTCAACCTCGAAGTATTGACGAACGTGTCGTATTTGCTCTCCCTTGAGCCTTCAACAGTTTGCAGGTGCTTCCTTGCCTACCTCTAGGCTCAACCCTCTGCGACACATCTGCTGCCGTCCGACTACTGTGTGTGATTTACATCCACTTGAACCACAACCTTTGAGAACCTCCCCACACGTAGTATTCGACGCACCCCCTCCCCCATAGGTCTCTACGGGTCATCGTCGCGTGGGGGTGGCCGGGGTTCTGCCGGTGCCAAGTAGAGATCGAACCTGCCACTCTAGTACGTCCCCCTGAGCGGTGATCATGAAGTGGCTAGATTCACTACCAAACACCCCACACTAGTTGATGGTGACCAGTAGCACCACCGCGTCGTATGCCATGCCGTTGCTGAATCCTATAACTGATCTCCTATACCATACATAGTTTGGTTGGTAGTAAGCTCGAATTACTCTAGTATCTACGACGTGCTAAGCCAGATATAGTTTGTCCACAGGAAACATTTCATGGTCCTCAGAATTCCCTACACTTTATGAACTATTCAGTGGAGCGCATCGAAGCCGAATACCTTCCACAGCGGGATCTAACTCGATGTGGACGGCGCAGCGGTGGCTTAGTGATACTGGCTAGACGTCCACTAAAGCTGAGACCCTTCCTACGAGTGTCATTACAGGACACCAACTATCAATACTCTATGTTGGGGGGCAGAAATCGTGGGTCTCCCTATCACAAGAAAATTGATTAACATCTATATTCGACCACAAAGCCACCAACCCGCTATTACTCACTTACCGGACCTACCGTTGGAGGGTTGTATCCTGGTTGGAGACGTCAACGCTCACCATCCATGGGCTGGGAGCTTACCTACCACGGCAGATGAACGGGGATCATTTATCTATGAATGGCTGCGTGAATTTGGTCTGAAGCCTCTCAACTCGATCCATGATGCACCTACCT